GTCTGGGATGTTTATCTATAGGTGCTCCATTTTTTTTTTGTGTTTGTGCCTGTGTGTGTGTGTGTGTGTGTGTGTCCGCATCACTATATGCTTGTATGCTTGGGTCCATACATACATGCATTTATGCAACTGTATGTGTTTGCTTATGCATAAACCTGCGTGACTCCATGCTGATGCGCCAATGCATACATGCACATATTTGTGCATGTATGTGTGCCTCTATATGTTTCTTTTGTGTATCTGTACTTATATGCACGCATATCTGTGTCAACATATGTGCACATTTGTGTGGGTGTGTGAATGAATCAGATGTGCAACAGGTGAGGCATGGCAGGAGATCATGCTTGCATGCTCTCCCAATCGGCCGTGTGAGAAAGGATCAACCAGTGACAACAGCACATCCAGCGAGGACTGTGGCAGCCAGTTTGCCATCATTTACTTTGTCAGCTTCTACATGCTCTGTGCCTTTCTGGTGAGTACACAGGCAAAAAAGAAAGGTTCTGATTGCTAATGTTAACCAGAGAAAACAGTTGTATTTGATTACATTAATCACAAATAATTGTTTACAGTTATATGAAAAAAAACACACACACTTCCAGAAAATAACTTTTTTTTTTCTTTTGAGAAAATATTTATTTTTCTTCTTGCCAAGAGATAGGTGCCTAGAGTCCTTTCACCAAACAAATTGTTTGCTGTTAGTGAACTTTGGAGGTGCTGATTTTGGACAAAACCGAACTTGCTATTTTCCTCTATTCCCAGTCTTTATGCTAAGCTAAACTAACCTTGCTGTCCTAGCCATAACTTCATACGCTCATTATCATCTAACTCTCAACAAGAAAGTGAACAACTACTTTACATTTCCCACTATTCCTAGTATTCTACAATAACTTTTAAGATAAATTTCAACATTTTCTGACTGCAGTTTTTGACTGATTCCCGATTTTCCCCAGATCATCAACCTGTTTGTGGCTGTCATCATGGACAACTTTGACTACCTGACGCGTGACTGGTCAATCCTGGGGCCACATCATCTTGATGAATTCAAGAGGATCTGGGCTGAATATGACCCAGAAGCTAAGTAAGTTTACCAAGACCTGACAAAGTACATAATCAAGGTAATGATAGTTTGGTCTGCAGAGGTTGTGTTGAGAGGCTTTATAATGTGATGTCTGTGCTCTTTTCAGGGGCAGGATCAAGCACCTTGATGTGGTGACTCTGCTCCGGAGAATCCAGCCTCCACTTGGCTTTGGCAAGCTTTGTCCCCACAGGGTGGCCTGCAAGGTAAACACCCACAGTGCCACAAAAATGTGGCAAGGGCTGCAGAGCTGCAAAAATATACAGAATTTTTGAAAAGGCTTTTAATATTCAGAATATAATCTCTTACTATTTTTGAACAGATTTAAAAGAAGTTCCATTGCCATGAATGATTATTTTCCAAATTTTCCTTGTGATATCAATGTGATAACATTTAGACAGCTTATAAATCCTTCCACAGTGACTCAGATAGCACACTGACAACAAATCTTACATGTAGAGAAAATATTTTGGATATTAGACATTGACATCGCTGCTGAAGAAAATTAATGCCCATAGTGTCAAACAACTGTCTGCTTTTTTTGCCAACTGCCAGTATCTATTGGCAGCTGAGAAGGACATTTACTTGTGCATCATTTTATTAATGCAGATGATTTTGTGTTTGTGTCCGTTTGTGTTGTAGCGTCTGGTGTCGATGAACATGCCTCTGAACAGTGATGGGACAGTGATGTTCAACGCCACACTGTTTGCTCTGGTCAGAACCGCACTCAGGATCAAGACGGAAGGTAACAGAAACATACATCAGCAAACCATCTAATGTAGCTGTAGAGGGAGATGACACACATATCCACAATGGCAGCATATCATTATATATAAATAAATATGTAAAGCATAAAGTGGGATTTTTTTTTTTTTTTACCATTTTGGCTTTTTTTATAGGGGAAAGTTACATAGTTGCACACTGTTACAGTGCCTTGCGAAAGTATTCGGCCCCCTTGAACTTTGCGACCTTTTGCCACATTTCAGGCTTCAAACATAAAGATATAAAACTGTATTTTTTTGTGAAGAATCAACAACAAGTGGGACACAATCATGAAGTGGAACGAAATTTATTGGATATTTCAAACTTTTTTAACAAATAAAAAACTGAAAAATTGGGCGTGCAAAATTATTCAGCCCCCTTAAGTTAATACTTTGTAGCGCCACCTTTTGCTGCGATTACAGCTGTAAGTCACTTGGGGTATGTCTCTATCAGTTTTGCACATCGAGAGACTGAAATTTTTGCCCATGCCTCCTTGCAAAACAGCTCGAGCTCAGTGAGGTTGGATGGAGAGCATTTGTGAACAGCAGTTTTCAGTTCTTTCCACAGATTCTCGAGTGGATTCAGGTCTGGACTTTGACTTGGCCATTCTAACACCTGGATATGTTTATTTGGGAACCATTCCATTGTAGATTTTGCTTTATGTTTTGGATCATTGTCTTGTTGGAAGACAAAGCTCCGTCCCAGTCTCAGGTCTTTTGCAGACTCCATCAGGTTTCCTTCCAGAATGGTCCTGTATTTGGCTCCATCCATCTCCCCATCAATTTTAACCATCTTCCCTGTCCCTGCTGAAGAAAAGCAGGCCCAAAACATGATGCTGCCACCACCATGTTTGACAGTGGGGATGGTGTGTTCAGGGTGATGAGCTGTGTTGCTTTTACGCCAAACATAACATTTTGCATTGTTGCCAAAAAGTTCGATTTTGGTTTCATCTGACCAGAGCACCTTCTTCCACATGTTTGGTGTGTCTCCCAGGTGGCTTGTGGCAAACTTTAAACGACACTTTTTATGGATATCTTTAAGAAATGGCTTTCTTCTTGCCACTCTTCCATAAAGGCCAGATTTGTGCAGTATACGACTGATTGTTGTCCTATGGACAGAGTCTCCCACCTCAGCTGTAGATCTCTGCAGTTCATCCAGAGTGATCATGGGCCTCTTGGCTGCATCTCTGATCAGTCTTCTCCTTGTATGAGCTGAAAGTTTAGAGGGACGGCCAGGTCTTGGTAGATTTGCAGTGGTCTGATACTCCTTCCATTTCAATATTATCGCTTGCACAGTGCTCCTTGGGATGTTTAAAGCTTGGGAAATCTTTTTGTATCCAAATCCGGCTTTAAACTTCTCCACAACAGTATCTCGGACCTGCCTGGTGTGTTCCTTGTTCTTCATGATGCTCTCTGCACTTTAAACGGACCTCTGAGACTATCACAGTGCAGGTGCATTTATACGGAGACTTGATTACACACAGGTGGATTCTATTTATCATCATTAGTCATTTAGGTCAACATTGGATCATTCAGAGATCCTCACTGAACTTCTGGAGAGAGTTTGCTGCACTGAAAGTAAAGGGGCTGAATAATTTTGCACGCCCAATTATTCAGTTTTTTATTTGTTAAAAAAGTTTGAAATATCCAATAAATTTCGTTCCACTTCATGATTGTGTCCCACTTGTTGTTGATTCTTCACAAAAAATTACAGTTTTATATCTTTATGTTTGAAGCCTGAAATGTGGCAAAAGGTCGCAAAGTTCAAGGGGGCCGAATACTTTCGCAAGGCACTGTAAATACCTGGATGCAATCAAATTTCCTTCAGTTACAGACAAGACTGAAGTTATTGCTTTTGGTAGCAAGAACGAAAGGACCGAAGTTATTGATCAGCTTGATTGTAGAACTATGAAGACAAAAACTCAAGTTACAAATCTTGGTGTCATAATTGACTCAGACCTGAACTTCACCAGTCACATCAAGGCCACAACTAAATCAGCTTTTCATCATCTCGAACAAATAGTACAACTCTGAGGTCTCATGTCCTGAGAAACTCACTGATGCTATCGTCTCCAACAGGCTGGACTGTTGTAATGGTCTTTTGTCTAGCCTTCCCCAAAAGACTGTTAGACAACTTCAGCTCGTTCAGAGAGTTTGAACCAGAACCAGGAGAATTGAGCAAATCACTCCTGTTCTTAAATCTTTACACTGGCTCCCAGTTACCTACAGAATCCAAACCCAGCAGGGCCCTGACATCCTTAGTAAGCAGTGATCTGGTTTTAATGCTTATAATATTTAATGCTGTTACTGTTTTTCTTTGCCTATGTGAAGCACTTTGAATTGCCTCTGGTTAGGAAATGTGCTCTAGAAATTAAGCTGTCTTGCTTTGATCTGAAGTCCAGTGGTGCTTTGACCAAGATTCCTGTGCTGGCCTTGGACTGAGTTTCTAGAACAATGTAGGGCAAAGGTGGTGGAGAGATCCCTGCTGTCCATAGCTGTCAATTCTGTTTCTGGTTTCCTTGAAAGAATCTCTAGCAGCATCTAGTTTGGTGAGGACCGTCTGCTTTGTGCCAATGATATACAGTACTTCTGGCTTTATTAGCCCACGACCCTCAGTACAAGCTGGGACAGTTTGCAGCCAAGTAGAGGGCAGAGAAAAGGGAAGATGATGAGGGGCACAATCCAGTATATTGTTAATGTTTATATAGAAACAAAGTACACGAGAAAAAGGCAATGAAAGAAGGAGGGTGACACATAAAGAGTTAAAGATGGTGTGATGTGTAGAGCAAGAGAGGAAGGTCCTGGGTCTCTCAGAGAC